AAGAGATGAGGAAGATGAAATAGGAAGCTAAGAAGTCTATTAATCAACAGATAAATCCAGAAATCTTTAAAAGGGCTGAAACTGCTATCTATCGTTACGTTCAGAATCGTCATTTTAGTGCAGAAATAGAACAGCTGAGCAGTGGTCTGCCTGTGAAGAAAACAAGTTCTCTGAGAAAACTTGATCCTATGCTACATGATGGTCAATTACGAGTCGGTGGCCGGTTGACTCGTTCCGATTTGTCATATGATGCTAAGCACCCAATAATTCTTCCCAAGTATTCATGACTTTCAAGAATGATCATTGACAGTGTGCACCGTTCAGTAGGTCACTTGGGTAAATGTACCATATTGTCTCAGCTACGTCAGAAAATCTGGATTATCCATGCCCCAGCTTTGATAAAAAATATTGTTTCTAAATGTGTCACTTGTAAGAAGTATACAGCTAAAGCTATGGAACAGAATATGGCAGACCTGCCTTCAGAACGTTTGAAACCAGACGAGCCACCTTTCTCCAAAGTTGGTATGGATTATTTTGGACCTATAGAAGTGAAACGTGGTCGCTCCATGTTAAAGAGATACGATGTGGTTTTTACTTGTCTTACTACACGAGCGGTACATCTCGAAGTGGCTTACAGCCTAGACACAGACTCGTGTATTAACTCTATAAGATGTTTCATTTCACGTCGTGGTCCTATTAAATATTTAATTTCTGACAATGGTACCAATTTAGTTGGTTCAGAGCGTGAACTCCGTGAGGAAATCAACAAATGGAATGTCTAAAAAATTGGTAACGAGCTTTTGCAACACAACATAAAATGGGACTTCAATCCACCATCCGTGTCAAACTTTGGAGGAGTCTGGGAAAGATTAATCCGTATTGTTCGCAGAATTCTGTATGGATTACTAAGTGAACGTTTAGTGACTCTTGATGATGAAAGCCTTCAAACCTTTCTGTGTGAGGTTGAATCCATAATGAACTCACGCCCCATTACTAAGGTGTCAAACAATGTAAATGATCTTGATAGCTTAACACCAAATCTTTTGCTGCTATTACGTGCAGGTGAATCTCTGCCTATTGGAAGTTTTGATCAGACAGATGCTTACGCGAAGCGGCGATGGAGACAGATTCAGTATTTGTCTAATTTATTCTGGAAACGTTGGTCGAAGGAATATCTACAACTTCTCCAAGAGCGACAAAAATGGGTAAAACCCAGAAGAAATGTTTGTGCTGGGGATATAGTTTTGATACTCGATGGAAATATTCGGTCTTCCTATACTCTAGGACGTGTTGTAAATGTGCACCCTGATAGAAATGGTCTAGTGCGCGTTGTGACTGTCAAAACCAAAACAAGCACTCTGGAACGTCCAGTAAATAAGTTGTGTATGCTGTTGGAATCCGATTTGTAATATCTGATTTCATTGTATTATACATGTATGTGACATTGTGGGACTGTTGGATGGAAGAAACTGTGTAGGTTAACCTTTATGTTGCATCGACTGTATTGGAATAAGAAACATGTGGCACTATTGGGACAACTGTTAATGAATTCCTTGAGATGACAATCTGTGAAAGTTTTGATGGGGTGACTGTTATTTTATGAAAGCCTTATCAGAATGACTGTTATGAAAGTCTCATTGGAATACTGTAAAATCTACTTGTAACATTATTTGTGACAGCTTCATTATAACATCTAATATAGACAACCATATGTTAGATTGCCTGAACTATGTTTAATATAAGAAAGTATATTACATGTTATTGTGTTTGAAAATCTGAATTCCATTTAATTCAGTTTTTAGGTTGTTAGTCTACATATATTTCTAGGTCTGTTAGAAACCGTTTTTGAAATGTAGATTAATTCTGTGTTTTATCTTATTATGATGTACTTTAGAGTTTGGAATTGTCACATTATAGAGTCTTTTCGGCATGGTTGCTGGGTAAAGGCCCTCTCATAAACTATGATGTTTGCTTATAATGTTGACCCTGTGTAAGCCAAAACTTATTTTTGTGGCTATATCTCTATTCTTATGTACTTGGTATATTGACTAGATAAATATGTATGTATGGTTGTACATTTCATCATGGAAATTTAAAGGTCACATAAGACAGTTAGGTTGTTATTTGTACTGTGTTTATAAAGGCTGTCTCTGTATTTTCAGCCAATCACCACCATCACCATAGTTGTAACAACCTTATTATTTTATGATGATAGAAATAAAATGGTGCATTGCCGTTCATTGTTAAACCTTTTGCTGTATTTAAATAGCATATTATATGTATATCAGTATTTTGAAGAAAGATGTTGATATTAGTCACGCACGTTCATGCCTCACGTGTGACTTGTGTTTAGCTGTGGTCGATTGATTAGGATGTGTTGCTAACTCCCAACACGGTAATAAATATCTGTTTGTCTTTATTTATAATTTTGGGTGAGCCTGTTTTGCTTTGTTGTTCCGCAATATAATTATAACATAGAGTATCCACCAAAGGTTGTCTTATTTATTTCTGCTGTGTAAACAAAGTAGTGAATGTTTTCTCCAATAATTTGGGTGAGTCGTGCTCAACATTGTTGTTCCGCGATCTAACATGGATCACAAAATAAGGTTGTCTTTATTTCAACTGTGTCGGCAAGTAGTAAAGCAAATGTTTTCTTTAATAACTTAAGGTGAAACTGTCCAGCCTTGTATTTCCGCAGTCTAACATGGGACATACAATAAGGTTGTTTTAATTTATTTCTACTGTGTCGGCAAGTAGTAAACTGAATGTTTTTCTTTAATAATTTTAGGAGAGACTGTTCAGCCTTGCTGTTCCTCAATCTAACATGGAACATACGCTAAGGTTGACCTCTTTTTGAGTATATAAAAGGGATTTACCTGTGTGCATGCAAAGTTAAAGCGATAATTTCATATTTTTAAGTTATATTTTTAAAATGTATTAAAATAAAGCCTTAAAATAGATGGTACCTTGTTAAACAGCCCTACCTTGTTAAAGAAAAATCCTATTAATCCTATAATTCACTATTGCCAGTTGAGAAATTGGTAAAAATATCATTTTCAACTTCAAATTCAAACGTTTGAAGATAGCTATTCCATGGGGGGGGGGGGTAGAAAAACAAGGGAGGTAATTGTGTTATTATTTCCGAGGTGAATGTTTTTTAAGTGTGAGAATGATACCTATGGTCGTATAATAGTGAGTTGACAACCTATTGAGCAAAAGACATAGAAATAATTATGCTTTGACTTTCTTAGAAAATATGAAATTCTCGCTTTAAGGGGCTTACCTGTGTGCAGGCAAGTAGTAAAGCTAATGTTTTCTTTAATAATTTTAGGTGAACCTGTTCAGCCTTGTTGTTCCGCAATCTAACATGCGACAGAGACTAAGGTTGTTTTAATTTAATTTAGAGTGAAACAGTTCAGCCTTGTTCCGCAATCTAACATGGGACATACACTAAGGTTGTTTTAATTTATCTATTCAAGCTTGAAAAACAACTAACGATAAAGGACGAGTTTCGCTATTCGGGATTCAAATTTTGAATAACAAATAATGAGACAGAACGTGTTTGGTTATTTGGGATTCAATTAAAATTATTATTTGTCAAGTAAACTGGGCTTTTAATTTTTTAATTAACTTGTAAGAAGGGTCACTCAGCAGTAAAAAAAATATGTTTTCACTTATATACGCTTCAAAAAAAAGTACGGGATATTCAGAAACAATACAAAACTGCGGAAATGCACTGCTGTTTTTATTAGAGGTAACCAGTGCATGTTAATAACAGGCCAATTGCCTAAACATGAACATAAACAGTTCATATGGGCGGCTTATCTGACGGCCCCATTTCACTCGCAAAGAGATACACTGTCAAAAGTGAAAATGGACGTTTTTGATTTTTGTCTTAATAATGAGTAATTGCTCCACCAATCCTTAGGCATTCAGCAATTCGCCGTGACATGCTCATAACCAACCGTCCAATCACGATTTGGGGCAAGCTGACCCACTCCTCTTGCAGTGCCACGGCCAATTCCTGCAGTGTTGTCGGTTGACGTCGACAAACACGTCTCCCTATCAAATTAAACGTAACACACTAAAGCAAAGATATGCTAAACAGTAAATCCTATGCAAGAACTGATAGGGAAGCAAACATGGATAGAATAAACCAGCAAGCGGCAGTTTTCATCAACCCTTCCTTGAAGTGTCAAATTTGACATTGAACCCCTCCCACGTGTATGGCGCTATTGCGTGTCGCAGGTGCAGATCAGTGGTTCTGTTGGGGCGATAAGTTCTTCATCTGTGAATATACTCTCAAAGCATGTCAAGTGACCATGACTATTTAGCATATCACTACTTGCATAGGTATTTGCATTTCAATATCCTCTACTTTTTTTTGAAGTGTATATGTCATAAAACTATCCATTTTGCTTTTCGTGGCTTTTCGAGCTTGAATAACGAGACAGAAATTCGTCGATATTTTCCGACCTGGTTTCCCTTTTACAGGACAACGTATAGCCCTTCAGATGGGTCGAATAACGAACCACGATTTAACGTCACAGTGTACCACTTTACTGTTGGTCATTGTAAATATACAAAACACAGTCACAGTTTGAATTGTGCATATTCGACTATTTTGATTCGTCTGCACGTGAACCAAACAGAGCAATGACAACAGCCATCCACGAGATCTGTCAAAATGAGACAATGGCTGATGAACTGATAATCATCGTTAACATGAGTTCACCAGGTTATAGCATCACCACGGCACTGGACAACTTTCCAATTGTGTGATTTGCGGTGATTCTAGATCTCATTACTTCTGGAATTGGTACCTCAACAAAGTTGCTGAAGGTTTAAAATTTCGTTGACTAGCAACCTATGACTGTTATATTGTCAACGTTTACGCTGTTGTATGCATTCACTATGTAGTAAAATAGAAGTAATTGTTTGTTATGACACCTTACAGTGTTCGAATGGAGGACATCAAACAATAATAAAGTAAATCTTACATGCTACGTTGCAAACATATCCAGGTGGACCAGGTGGTGATTCCACACATACCGAATACTGGTCACAAGGTTTACTGCTACAAGCTCCAGGCTAAAACAAAAAAGTTTTCATTGGAATAAATATTATGCAAAGCAGATCTATGTTTGACTGTTAGCCAAATACTGGCAGAACGGGCATTATATTGCAAAAATAGGATCATCAGAAAATATATGGAATAAGCTACCAAGAACAATTCAGAGAATGTTTGACTTTAGTTTAACGTTTAACGTCCACTCAACACAAACTAGGTCATTTCGGGATTAACATATGGTTCAATAATTAGCAGGGGGAAGAAACCGAAGGACCCGGAGAAAACCCACGAGGTTGGAAAGCGCTATAGAAGATGAATAACAATAAAATGAAATGAAATGGGTTTAACGTCTTACTGTTCTGCACCTATACTGGGAGGATAACAATAATAATAATAATAAATAAATATAATTGGTTCAGTTGTTAGCTCTGTTTATTGGCGAGCTCTGTTTATTGGCGGCAACAAATGATAGAAAATCATGATGTTTTATCAGACTGTAAAATAAAAAGGACACCTATACAACACTATTTATAGAGAGTTTAATTAGCAGTCAAAGTGCGTACAAAATGAAACTGTGTTTACAAATCAACATGTAATCCTTATACCTATAGTATACTGTACATGTTGGCCCTTTTGAAACAATTATGTTTTTCAATTAACATTCCATTTCCACCAGCCAAGTTGTTGATCGAGCTGAGGACGTTAAAAAGTTTCTGTAGTAACATATGTTCCAAGGGGACTGTTGTTCATGTGGCGATAAACGAGTTACTTAGTTAATCTATCAGAACAGTTTTGTCGGAGTTTTTCTGCCGAATCCCGAATCGCGAATAACGTGCTGAACGAGTCAACACCCTACAAACATCCTTGCTAGTCGACCACCCAACGTTCACTTATCCCTACGGTCGGAGGTAGCGAGGAAATGGTCGGGTGGAAGATAGACCGGTCTGTTTTACTGACGAATCCCGAATAACGTACAAAGTTTAGTCCCGCGCACGTGATTTCGGATGTCGCAGCAAATATACGTCACACGAGGTATTCTACAAACATGTATTGGTATATAAAGCCGAGTAAAAAATACATTCATTACGCACTTCGACTTTCGTGTTTATTTAATAGCGAACGTGAGCAAAAATTTCGATTGCACTCTTTGATTTAATTTTTGATTTTGGCAATTTGATGATAAACTTGCAGAATAAAGATATTCATTTGTTCGTTTTTACAGTCCATCCAAAGCTGCAGCGACGTCGCCCCCCCCCCCCTCACACACCCACACACCCACACACACACACTCCATCCCATGCTCATCACCAACACTAAATATTTCCCGTTATATTTACCCCTTTCCAAGTAGGGAGTATATCGCATATTATTATACGAATCAATAATTGTATATCGAGGTTACAGAGTTTATTTATTTCATATGTAGGAACTAATCATTGCCTAATTTACACTGGCGCAAGTGGCGTGATCGTGCCGGACAATCCCCCACCCCCGCGTCCTGCCGGTCCTTACACCTTGTTCTAGCTGGGGATTAAACGCCCTCATCCACCCTCCGGGAAACCTTTATCTTATTAAATTCAGGGTCCTTGCTGTGGGAGGAAAAACAAGGACACGGAGTAAAACCACACGATTGGAAGGCATGTCATTAACTTGGAAGGGGGTAGATATAATAGGAACTATTTAGTGGTGCTGATGAGAATGGGATGGAGTGTGGGGTGTATTCCCTTCCAAGTTAAGGTGTGAGTAATCTGGGATGGGTTCGGTCCCTGGTGTGAGCGTATGTGATTTGATGATACAGATGATAATGTAGCAGCGGTTATATCCGCATGTTTGGCTGTCACGTGACTAAAATCTAATTACACTCCATGTGAGTCATACTGCACGCAGCGACCCATCTACGTCATACTTCCCAGAATGTGACACTGCCCTGATTACCTTCCATTTAAAACGCTCACGTGATCGTTTTGGGGTGGGACTTGTCGACTAGACACCGTTTTGTTTAGACAACAGAGTAAAAATAACCCAATCACGTGTGTTTTATGTAAACACGCCATGTCGCTGACACTCGCGTAAAAGCGATATATAATATGGGCTATGGGTAATATTGCAATAAATTCTTTACCATTGTAAACTGTCTTTAGAGTTTCAATCTGTTTATCTTTCAAAACAAGGTTAGATACTCCTAAATTTGTTTTCGCAAACAAAACCGCCTCTGTGAAATTATCTGTCATAGGCGCCGCCATATTGAATAATTACGGAACTTTTTGTGATTCGGCCCTGATTAGTTTAAGATCTTTCATACACACAACGGCTAAATAAACATATTTAATTGCATTCAATATGACAATAGAAGAGTAATAAATACTTCTAAAAATTTCTAAAAGCATACTCGGTGTTTTCGACTAAAATCGTCGATTTAGGAATTAAAATGTCGGTTAATTAGGTTAGGGTCTATTCTCAGCCGGAGCTAGCTGTAGATAGGCAGCCTAAGTTTGGGATGCATGTGAGTAAATGCTACCATATTACACGAGAGAGCGTTGTAGCAATATAAACAGTTAATATTAAGACATTTGAAAGAGAGAGAGAGAAATGGGGTTTAACGTCCACTCGACACAAACTAGGTCATTTCGGGACTAACATACGGTTTTTAATTTTATTTACATAATTCGCTTGCGCGTAGGGGTCTTTAGCAGTGGGAGGAAACGGAGGACCCGGAGCACACCCACGAGGTTGGACAGGCGACCCTACTCCTTGTCACGTACAACCGGAGATTCGAAACCACGCCAGTTGACTCAATGACAGACTTTATGATACAGCGCGCGCACGCTAACCACTCAGCCATCCAACCCCCCTAAGACATTTGAAGGCGTGGGGGTATTGTTAAAACAACTAAGCGTTTGCGCATGCGTACATATGTCAAATGCAATCGTCTCATGGAGTGTATTCCGTTACTTTGCAACAAGGAAATAAGCGAAGTTTTCCGACTGCGATACAGACTTATTCGTTTCAGGGGCGTGATTGTGATATTTTACGCGACCAAGGAACATAACTCGTATTGTTACTAAGAGTTAACTGCCTTGATAATGGAAGCCGGGAAGATTTTGAAGCAATTTCCAAATAGTTATATCCTCAAAAATCAAATGTGGTCCATTGCTGATGAATAAAGTTTTTATGGCATGTCTTGTCATATAATGTTAAAACAACCCAGAAATAGTGTCTGTTTGTTGTAAAAGATTTTGAGCATGAACCACTCTAACTTGGGTTTAGAAGCTGCGATATTGGTAGATATATGTTTTTACATAGCACAAACCTTGAAGATTCAAGATAGACATCATAATATATTTGGAAGAGGTGGTGCTTTTTCTAGATGATACAGAATTATCCAGCAGCTCTGAGAATGTCGGTTTAGTAGCTGTTACATTGGTAGAGATAAGTTTTTACATAACGAAAATCTTGAAGATCCAAGATGGCAGCCACAATGTATTTGAAGGAAATGGTGTCTATCAAAATTTAAGAGTACCATCTCGGGAGAAAACGACGCCTTTGTCCGTAACTTGCTAACCTGCCTGAGTATTGCACATTGCACAGAGAAAATAATATGGCATTGCCCGAATGTTTTTGCACCCAAGAGAAATATATGCGAATGTGAAATATTATTTTGACGTATTCTGTCCTCCATAGACACCAGTAAAAGTGCAGCACATAACAGACCTACAGAACAAGGACAGCATGAACTCCAAATCATGTTTGGGAAATCAGCCATTGCATTGCTGAATGTTTTAAAGTCTCCGTTTTCACTCTATGTATTTCACAATTGGACATCACCAACTCACTACCCTGGAAAGATGGCAAGTTATTACCATGAGAAATGCTGGTATATCAATGAGACCGATTGCGCGACAGTTGGGTCACCACCCTTCGACCATTAGTCGAATATTACGAAAATATCAACAGAATAATGACGTAAAAGACATTCCACGTTCCCGTAGACCTGGCATTGGGTCTAACACTGACTCAGAGCCAGTCCCATCCGATCAATGGGGTGAGGAGTTCAACAGGTGATCCAGACTGGCGGAGGCTACACCAAATATTGAACATGAAATAAAATAAGCTGTAGGATTTCATATAGACCAGTACCAGCAATAGTTGTTGGGCCTGGTTTCACCTATTTCCTCCTCTATTTTTGAACTCAACAGAATCCATTAAATTCTCTACATAAACTTCAGTTTTTTGTATTTCTTTGCTCGATCAGTGTTTTCTTGTGGTAGTTCAGGAAGATTGAATCCTCCTAGAACGTAAAATAGGTAACAAATCCATATAAATAGGAGAGTTACGATACTTAGTTATCTGTGTATATTATCAACTCGTTTATCGCCTTTATTGCTACGTCTGGTCGTCATCGAATTGATTTTGCAAAGACCGACCTGTCGTACTGTAATTATTAAAATTGCTTGCTTCCGTTTACATTCTGATACTTACCGGCATATATTGATCTACATTACTGTAGAAACTTCCAGGTTGATTGCCTATAAATGATATATAATCTGTTAGCATTGTTGCTGTATTTAATTCACACATATTACTAGAACTCTTAAAATTAAATGATACACATGCGATGCGGGAATGACAAGCATCAGCACAATCCGTTTCAGTACCAACAGTAACTGTATCAAAGATCATGCCGATTAAAGCAGTATTCGCCTGTTGCACCACATTAACTGAAATGAAAAGCGATAAAATCAGGTTTAAACCGCCAAAACATGTATTCCTATTGAATAATGCGTATTTATAGATTCGGACAATGGAGTTATGCCTTAATAGTCCAGGCATTTTAGCTTCAGTTCGCACCATTCCGGGCAGTTGCTGCAATAGAAATGCCAACCACGGTTTATGGTCGGTCTAGACGTATATTATCACCAAAAAGATTTCATATAGACTCTCTGGCCGACCACTGCTGACTACGGAAGCAGCGTACCAGCCATGACGCAGCGTCTTGTGCGAGTCCGATTTCGATCACTAACCTTGAAAATTGAGCCAATATGGCCAAACCCATTGAAGCACGTGGCGAATTTATTTCACAAAATGATTCAAATGTTGAGACACAGATGGATACCGTATCGCCTGTTTGTCAGATATGCAGTGAACCATTTGATAATGAACTGCTCACCGTCATTCCGAAAATGACGGAAAGATAACGGGTATTGGAGGCTGACAATAATGAGCCGATTAAGATCCATGGCCTAAGTTCAATAATGAGCGGAGATACCAATTTCAATGGCAGAGAATTTAGGACAGAGTAAATCTTGGTGTAAAGTCATGACTAAGTTCGACTATGGGCTAAGGGCATGCTAGGACCTCCGAATGAGAATAGGCACACCAAAGTTAGGGCAGTTTAGGAGGGGACAGGATCGAGAAAATTTGAGGTTTGTGGCACATGGTAGAAGTGATTTGATGTCTATGTGAGCCATTACGTACCATGAACATGAACATAGTTAGCTGCAACCAAAAACTAAACGTCCTGTGAGTAAAGAAAAACAAGCATCAAAAAGAACTGGTATAACTTACAAAGGGTACCTGTCAAGTTTCATTCGATTCTGCTCACTAATGAGGGGAGAGGTAGAGGGGTAGAACTGAAAGTAGACTGACAACCCAAGAACGAGAAGACGATCAAGATACGATTTAATCCAGACCAAGAAAGTTACTGGTGACATTAAATGTCAATAAAGTTCGTGGTGACTGTTAGCGTATTGGCCTTGAGTATGCCAACCGGCAAAAACGTTCCCGTCGCCCGTCTTGCAATTTTCCCAAATTCATTTAGATCAATAAATAAAACTTAGACAAATTTGTTGATTCTGAATATAATGGAAATCTATTCTGGAAGTCAGCCGTGGAATTCAGGTCTGATTGAGCTCATATGGGGCCATTACATCATTAATGTGCGTACATTGAGTGCGATTGGTTTGTGGTATCTCTGGATTTGGTTGGAACAAGGGAAGGACAGCAGAAAATGTTTTCATTAGGGTAGGCATTTTCTTGCGTATTTAAGGTAACTCTGTCGAAATTCGAGGGCACATTTTCGGAAGAGAGGTTACATAGCCACCCTCGCTCCATCCCATATACCCTGGTGGGAAATTTCATCGAATTCGAGTTTCTTGGGTTACACAGAGTGATGAACAATTTCAATGCCAAATGTTTTATAAATATGTTAGATGTGCAAGTAATTAATGAGTGTCATCCGTTTACGGACACCAGTCTCAGTGTTGATGTGTTAAATACAATTAGATAGCCACAGTGTTGATTTGTTAAATACAACTAGATTAATGTCAAATCGTCATTTGTCCTGTCTTAGCATGTCCACAAAATAGGTGTTGCGAGTTCTACTGTTTACTGTTGTAACAGTGGTCACCGATTATATCTGTTGTAATGGGCCGTCTGCTAGTCTTTTCCTACAGATCATGTAAAAGAAAACAGCACTGTCTAGACCTTGATACAGGTCCCCCACTTCAATAACGTTACAACAATGAGCAATAACGATGGGCTATTTATTATCAAATTTCTGACAAACTGTCGATACTGTATCCATCTGTGTCTCAACATTTGAATCATTTTGTGAAACAAATTCGCCGCGTGCTTTCAAAAGGCACGACCAGCTTCCGCAGTTACTCAGCAGTGACCTGGGAGTGGTCCCAGTCGTCAAACCCTTATACCGCTACCGCAGTGACCTGGGGGACGCTCCAAATGAAATTTAGTCGATACTGGATGAATGTCATTGTATTGGGTCTAATGCACGACCAGCTTCCACAGTGACTTCTGTGGAAGCAGACGTTAAAGCACCAAGATACTACTACTCCGCAGTGACCTGGGAGTGGTCCCGGTAGTCAAACCCCTACACCGCTACCGCAGTGAGCTGGGGGATACTCCAAATGAAATTTACTGGATGAATGTCATTGTATTAGGTCTAAGGTAGGAGTAACATTAATCTCCAATCCCCAATCGGAAATCTAAATCCCTAATTGGAATTTCTCCGCGGTAACACTTAGCACATAAGTGTATATGTAAATGGCCTCAGTTACCCCGAAAAAGTATATTTTGATACCAAACTCGATCATATTCTGATAAATGGGTGGAAATCGGAATTTACAAGCCAAACCCGTCGGCCATTTTGGATATTGGCCAGTTTGACACATTTGGGCACGAATTTTGGACTGGGACTCTTTTTTTTTGGTGATAATATACGACCGCACTTAAGCTATCTTACTTGGACTATAAAGGGGCATTATGATATTTTGAGGGGTTTAAAATACATACGGGTACAAAACGGGATATACTGACTAACATAATTGATAGAAACTGTACTTACAATAAATTGCTTGACATGTGTATCCTGTTGCACTAGGTACACACTTATCTAAATCTGTACATATATCATTGGCGCACGTGCTTCCTATCGTCTAAAAAGACAACAAAACATAAAGAAAAATCAAATACGAACACGAAAGGCATTACAAAGATATAGTGGCTTCGAATTAAGATATTATGCAACGGTGGTAAAGAAAATGGTTAAATGGTTTAATTGATTGGTATTCAAATTCTGTTCTAAAGCATAACACGACTGGTTTTGCAAGTCCATCGTTTCCTTCAGGTTGCAAAACACGATATTGCTAAAAAAAAAATCAATTCAATTTTAGCGTTATATTCAGTCCATAACAACTATAGATAAAAAAAACATACTTCCGGCCATGTGTCTATATTACTGTAAGATACACCAGTTGTATTTTCGCCAGATCCTGTTATAACATCTTCGTTTAACTGACATTCACCAGTAGCATCAACATAATTAAACGATTTACAACGCCGTCTATATTTACATTCTCTAGCACATAGTGCCAAACCTCCAGGATATACCTTATCAAAAATACTGGTAGACAGCGAAGTATCAGGAATTACCGATCCAAATGTGTTAGCTGAACACCGAGAGCCGACGGTACAAGATACACATAACAGGAACAAGGAGCCCAATAAGATCTGCCCAATTGACGCGTGCTGGTTTTGAAAAACATTCATTATCACATCATCCATATTAAAGGTCAATCATCACAGAATGTACCTTTAGGCGCCGTTGTTTTTTAATACCTAGAATGAACAAAATAATTGTTATGGTCCTTCTTGCAAGCTAATTCGAGAAAGAGTGATGGGTGGCTTTAACTTCGGGGTTATTAATCTTCTAATTAATATTTGGATTGGTTATACGTATTAAATAAGAAAAAAGACGCTGTAAGGTGTTCAGATAGTGTAGTTTTTGAAGTCGATGTGAGCAATTTACATGACATGCCATCTAAAAACCAAAGCAAAATACACGCAATGGCAGAGATAGGGCAGGATAGAAGGATATAAAACTATTCCAATTTTATTGTCATAAAAAAGCCAGTATTTAGAAAGGGTGACTCTATTCCATAGGCAACACTACATACAGAACTTTCATTCTCCAGTTCATGTTAAATTTTAAGAAAGTTTCTATCATTGGAAAATGGGGTGGTAAGAGACCTGCTGAGTGGATACAGAACTGGGTGGAATTCTAGCCTTAAACCAAAGATATCATTTAAAGGTATTGCTGACGAAAGCACATCTCACGTATACACGCATTATCCCATACCGACTTAGCTTATAAATCAAATTTCTTTAGTTGATAAAGAGTTGGGGAGGCGGCAAACCTCATCTAATAATAAATATATTAGAAAAAAAATCTGTATGTATATTATTAGAAAAACAATATGTGAAAAAGGGTGTCTTAAAGCGACAGTTATGGTTGAGATAAATCGTACTTTCTTGATAACGGTTTTGTTTAATTGATCGACATCTAATAATTGTTCTTGTTAAGAAATACTGACTTTAAAAATAACCAGGGTGTCAAAGTAATTATTTGCTTTCATTGCATTTCGTCTGGGGAATAATCAGAAAACAAGGAAGTCTATGATGGGAAAAGATATATAAAAAAGAATACCAATATCGATCAAAACAGTTATCTTACGCACATTATATTCGTATAATAACAATGCTGTGTATCGCGCAATGTAAATGATACATGTGGGTTGCCACGGCTACTTTCGCACTCACTGTATCATTCGAATCTTTATTTATTTTTTTTAAAAAAAACCCACTATATTCCTAGAATATTTTTTTTAAAATTCTAATTTTTCAAATATTTATGAGGTGCCTTATAAAAGAAACTGGAAAAAATATTTTAAATATGTTTTGACGTTTTAGGTCAGATTAGTGGCAATATCTTAAATATCTCATTGGCTTTCTCCGGGTCTTCCGGTTTCCTCTCACTGCTAAAGACCCCTACGCGCATGCGAAATAAAATTGAACCACGGGGCCCAAATTCGCCCAGGGCTCAAATGTAGTAATACCGGACTTCCTTGTTGTGTTTCCTTCGTGATCGTAAATAAAACTACAGGTTAGTTAGTTTCTACAACTTTATTATTAAAACTGCTTGGCTTTGATATTCTTCATTCTCAATAAAGTATAGATGATAGCTCCTCGGAAAATCTGGGTGAGCTCTTATGAATTTCACTCAACGCCCTCCTTTATAACCCCCTAATTACTTTACGTCATAGACTGACCTTGGCGTTAATTTCCTTGCCAAATACGGAATAAACATCCCCATTCCCTATAGATCGGGGGGGGGGGGGGGGGCATTACCTTATTTGATCCTACCAAACACATGTCATAATCAAGATAGTATTTAATGGATATTTTGACAAATGGATATTTACCAAAATATCACCGTTTTTTATATATATATATAAATATATCACTTAAATTCATTTAAGTACATGTGATTTGACTCTATTGAAAGTGTGCACCAAATAATTAGTTAAAGATACAATAGTATTACACACAAATTAGATGGCCTAAAACATTCATGGGGTCATGCTGGTTAATCTGATATCATATATGTGTGTGTGGGGGGGGGGGGCGACGAAGGGTGATTCGCTCTGGCCCTGAATTGAATGGCCTTAAACATTCACGTGATCATGCTGGTTAATTTGATACCATATAATAATGAAGGAGTGGCGAGTGATGGGCGACATTACATACATACATACATACACACGCACACACACACGCAGTTTGATTTTATTTATATAGACAATTAGCCTTTGATAGCAAAATGTTTTTTATTTCACAGAATCAAGGGATGGATAAACTACTAGACTTCACAGTTGAGATACATTACAGTAAACATATCAATAATATCAGAAAATAGGGTTAGGGCAGGCTCACTAAACATAGAATCACTTCAAAGGTATCTTTGGTGGCTCGAAGATGTTTATATCTCCACACTGACAGATGACTAATAGGCGGGTCAAACTAACATTTGACGTAGAACAAATTGCAACAAAAGGTTTTTTGATTTCTATTGACTCATTATGATGTCCTAAGTAAGGAAAAGAAAGTTTACCAAAATCGGAGTCCAAATAAGGCCAGGGGGGGGGGGGCAAAATCCAAGATGGCGGTTGTCGATCAAAAATTGCAAATATCTCTAAAGCTATTGGATTTAGACACCATAAATGTATTGCGGACAGATAGGAAGTCGGTATCAGCGAGTCCAAAAATTGCGACGTTATGTCTCTATGACGTCATGACGTTGCTGTGACGTCACAACGGCATACCAGACGTCGCATTTCTTCCAAAATTAGTTCATTTATGCATCTTAACAGCAGAAAAGAATGCTGATGCAGATAGAGTGTGTCCCCATTATGTTTGATTGATAAAGAAGAACAATATGTTACAAGTACGGAGAAGGGGGGCTAAAAGAACTACTGCTGGATTGCCGATATATGAAACTATTAGAGTAGCTGCAGGAACACGGGTTCATTTCAATTGTTGCAGAAATGAAATAAAATGAGTTAATACATCCTATTGTTCTGCTCCGATTTGGCTTCCTTAGTGTGCTATGAGGGAAAATTTGCCAGCCTTCACGTATATCGAATTTCATCCGCCAAGAGGTCTTTTACTGAAGAAGTAGTGCATCAAAGGGTGAATGGGTGGGGCTGATCAATTTTGACATTTGGCCCAAAAATCATCAGAAAGATTTATATTTTGACACCGGTTTCGTAGATGTACCCGAGATGTGTTACAAAACCAACTTTCGCGGTAATGTGAACAGCACCCCCTGGCGGTGTCCCCAAAAGCATTACTTTATATGTGGACAGATAGGAACTCGATACCAGAGAGTCCAAAAAGGTGAAAATCGGCCTGCCTGTCCATGCAACATTCAATGCACTTCCACAGTACAAGCACAAAGTGGGTGTCAAACATTGAATCGCTGAGCTCCTTAATGTTGCTCCTTCATGGCCTGCTACAGCGAGATCCAGGCCCTGGGACAAGCAACTCGGCGAAAGGCTTTGAAAGACACATAGTCAGCTTCACTTGGCGTATATCTGGGGTAACTGGAGGTCACTTTGGTAAAGCAAACGAGAACGGGTCGGGGCTCCAGGGCACTAAGGCTGGGGCAGGTGATTTATAGTTTTCTGGTCGCCGTACGGTCGCCGCAGCGCAGTAAGAAAGCCACCCCGGTCGGACGGGGGCATTACAATTTTCCGGGTTAGATCTTAGAGCCTTGGCGTTCGATTTTAATGTGCTTAAAACAAACGCCGTGACTCGGCGATCATTCACGACCATGGAGACCACAACAAGATATCCGGCGTTTCCACCAAGCTTTTACCGCGCTTATGGCGATCTTGACGCGCTCTGCGACCATTTTCCAACGCCGTAGCGTCGCAGTAAGGACTCCACCCCAGTCTGACGGGGGTATTAGCCTGGCTCATCAGGAAAAATACATCCCAACAGACTTTCAGCTAGAGCCCGTGGCAAAACGTAAAATGTCGGGTAGACCAGTTTTCATCTTTTTGAACTCTGTGGTATTGACTTCCTGTCTGTCCACATATACAGGGCCCCAAAACGTAATTCTTTAAGCGATGCTTTTAGGAACACTGCCAGAGGGCGCTGGTCGCATTGCAGCCAAAAAAAATTTTTTTGTAACACATCTCGAATACGCCTGTGTCAAAATATAAATCCTTATGGTGATTTTGGGGATTAACCTACTTCTGAGTGGCCCAAATGTCAAAACTGGTCAGCCCCGCCCATTCAACCTTTAATGCACTTCTCCAGTAAAAGACCCCTTTGCAGTTGGAATTCGATATATGAATGCCTTTGCGCCACTGCACGGCAAAACTCCCCTCATAGCACACTGTTGGAGCAGAACAGTAGGACGTATATGTATCACCCCATTTCATTTCATTTCTTTTTATTGTTGTAGTCTATTTTTGTCGACAATTGAAATGAATCCGTGTTCCTACGGCTACTGTAATAGTATCACCTTTCGACAATGCAGAAATATTCATATACTTTTAGCTTCCTTCTACGTTATTGTAACACATTGTTTTTGTTTATCAACCCATAATGGGCATACCCTCTTCTCTGAATCAGCATTCGTTTTTACTGTTAACATGCATAAATGGACTAATTTTGGAAGAAATGCGACGTCTGATATGCCGTTGTGACGTCACAGTAACGTCATGACGTCGTAGAGACATAACGTCGCCATTTTTGGACTCGCTGGTACCGACTTCCTATCTGTCCGCAATACATTTATGGTGTCTAAATCCAATAGTTTTAGAGATATTTGCAATTTTTGATCGACAGCCGCCATCTTGGATTTGGCCACGCCCCCTGTCCTTATTTGGACTCCGATTTTGGTAAACTTTCTTTTCCTTACTTAGGACATCATAATGAATCAATAGAAAACAAAAAACCTTTTGTTGCAATTTGTTCTACGTACGACATCATTTAGCCGTCGTTTGACCCGCCTATAAATATAAACATGCCAAAGTTTATGAACTTTCTATGTTGCATTATCGAGTTATCGAACCTCAAAGTTTACAGCATCCAGATTAGAGGCGAACTTCGTGGGTTCAGTAAACAAAGGTACGTTACGCTGCATCAAAAGCCCCTAAAGGGGCCTTTAGCAGTGGGGGGGGGGACCTGAGGACCCGGAGAAAACCCACGAGGTTGGACAGGCGGCCCAACCCCTTGTCACATACCAGCGGGGATTCGATACCGCTCCCCTTTACTCAATGCGCACGCGTAAACCATTCTGACACCCAATCCGCTACTTCTCCTATTGAAGACGGGTGTGCGCCATGCAGTGTGCTATGAAGGCATACTCTTATTTCGAATTCCAAATGTCAAGGGTTATTTTACGTGTGCTCCAATGTGTAAATGGATCTCGGGTTTTTGTCCCATTTGAACAACTATACGTTGTCCCTTGCCAGACCCTCCGTCCTACACCCCACCAGAAAAATCCCGATGAACTTTGAAGAAGTTAGCGAGCAAACGTCCTACTCACTGAGCCACAGTAGCTCCCACTTCATTTCTAATCCGGATGCTGGAATACGGATTCGAGATTGCGCGTGGCCAGAACTTTGTTGATTCCCTTCGGCTTCATTAGGTTGGAAAGATTTTTATATTCGACTGAACAGAATACTATTCGCAAAGATCATATTAATTACGATTAGGATTATTAAACTTTTTAGAACCCCAAACATTCCCGACATAAATGTCGATACGGTAGCCAGTGGACAAGCGTATACATTGCACTTCCGAGTTGAGATTGTGACGAAGCGAGAGTACTAGAACGCGAGAAGACGCGAAATACTCAAAGGCGAGAACGCGAGGGAGTGAAAAGTCGAGGATTTTCAAAGGCCAGAAGCCGGGATTATAAAATGGCCGTAATAGGCTTCCATACTTTTCCTACGATGTTTCTCTCTTTTTATGGAAACACTGTAGTTGTCTGTCAAGACAGTCACGCATGCAACGTCAGCTAACTAGGTATTATTAAAACACGCGATTATACTTTCTTTTCTTGTGTCAATATCAAAATGACCCAAGCAAAGTCTCTACAAGACGTCAAACCACATTCTATTCCCGTTTCTTGATAATTTGGAATATTAATTTCGATCCAGTAGCTACGACAATCCATTATTTATCACTTATATGGTTTCGGCTTGTTCATGCGTACTGTGTTTATCACATAAATCAAAACTTTTCAAATGCTTACAAACCTGACTGGGTTTTATTATCTTCCTGTTTAAACTTATTAACAGTTAAAATGTCGAAGGAAATGTAGTAATTATAAGATAAAATAGCGGTTATGTGCTATACAATAGCGATATCGAAGCCGTTAGTTTCCCACGTTGGTATATTATTATACTCAACGTCGAAAAATATAAGAACTAAAAAAAGAACAGCGCGATAGATAAAACCTGTTAAACTTTCCGTACATACACTGTCAAATTATCTCTGCTTAAGAGCATTTTCCTAATATATAACTAAAGTCTACCGGATTTCTGATTTTCACAGAACAATTATACTAACATAAAAGATGCCTGTAATAATTTACTTTTAAGAAAAAGAGAAAGGCCAATAACAATTCGTCTTTGATATCAAAATTACAAAACAATAATTAAGTTTCATACCTTAATATCCACTAGAATCTGATCAGCAATAAATTCCAAAAATACCTTATTAAGATGAAATCACTGGCAAGGTTAGTAACGGTTACAAATATGAAATAAGATTGTATCTTTAAAACAATAAAGTTTTATCAGGTAGTAGACTTTATTGATCGAAAATATTTATCTCCAACCAAACAGCTTTTATTCACACACCACAGACCAACACTTGTCAACTGCGACTTAATGTAGAGTAATACGTAATAATACACAATCTTTTAATAATGATATACAGGGAATTTTTTACTTTGTTTCCAAGCCAATCGTAGCACAAGCAATTAGTAATGCGTTTAGGAAATATGCACAGTGTAAAATTTAAGAGTTGCATCCCTTATGACTTAATAATTCATCATGCACACAGATCACACACTTGGTTCCAACAATATAGTTTGTCATTACGAGTTGCGCTTACTTGAGCATGCAGATTCGTAGTTTCGAACTGTATAGAGGTATGGGCAAGTGTTTGCAAACACATAACACAAAGCCTTCAGAAAACAAATTGACATAATCCGTCCAGCGTGTAGCCGGGGATGACGAAATGAACATTTCTTTTGATAAAACACCCCGAGATTTTCAAGCATCCTTTTAAAATTTTCATCGATATCAATAAATATGTTACTAAAACCGTGAGAGGCAATCATCGTAGTGTAGACTTGGCCAGTAATCCCGTAATACTATTTGGTAATTTATGCGAAATTGTATTAGAAGAATATAAGTGCACCAGAGGACATGTGTTACCATTTCATATTTGGCATAAATGACCAATCACATAATTAATTACATCATAATTAGCCAATAGAAAAATTATGGCTATGAATCTGAGAGTGTATAATTAATAGAATGTGCGTTCTAGTGTAGACATCATGAAGATTTGAGGGAGGCAACACCGTGTAGAATTTCGTTAGGGGAGACTGTTGAGGTCCAAGTGGCAACATCTGGGTTGAGGGTTAGCTAGAAAATGACTTTATTATAATCTATACTTGAATGTATCCTATCTATCGGAGTTTAATATAAAACTTTAATCAAGATCCTCTTGTATTTGTTGTTCCTGTTAACCATACTATTTAAGATGCAGTATATTCAATCACAACGCGAAGCTGTCATTAATGTGGCATTTAAAGATGCGCCCTAACCAGTTAAAGAATTACGAATATAGTCAGAGACAATACTAGACGATCAAGGGCTGTTTCAAAATATGTAGTAAGTAAAGAATGCATGGGTTATACGCCGGATGTGGCGACCTGTTTTTACCGTCGTCCGCTCTCCGCGTCTGACAGACGACCCATGGTATTACAATCCACGGTTTACAAAAGTTTGGATCCAACAACCGAATGGTCAAATGCTATCCTAGGCCAATAATTTGACAAGCTTCCAAAACAACTTTTCCGGATGCAAGGAAAGTTCAAAATATTAAGAAACCTAATTCAGGAACGTGTCATATAGATAGAACTAAAATAACATTTTAACCATGGACAAAAAACAAAGAGGTGAAAGTTGAAACCATTGCAATATTCTAGAGTACCGTGGTGTTTTTAAACATGTAATCACAATTCTTCATAGAGCTGTCGTCTTGCAAGAAACAACATGTTTATTAACACCTTGAACTTTTTATGTTATATTTTATGGATTGATAATTAAATGTTAATTTACATATAGACAAAAATGCTCTCCCACAGTCAACCGTATATCCTTAATGTAAGAAACTATTTAAAGATTCATTATGTAAGATTTAGATAAAGAACTGGCCATTCTTGCTATGATACAGTAGAACTTGCTCGGGCGTGCACTCCTAATCAGCGGACACTTGCTTCAACGAGCACCAAAAAATCCCCCCGAGCGATTTTTAAGTAATTTAACCCCTACTAAACACGCACCTGTTCAACGCGTGCAACGGGCATCACGATTAATTCCCCCCGTAAAAATTCTACTGTTTCAACGGTCACTCCTCTAACGCGGCCAGCGGTCACTATTTTACTAATAAATTCAACAAAATATCGCCCATTCAACGGCCATTGTTGGATGATACCATCTTGTCGTTCTTTCTTTGTAACACTCCCGCTAATCCCGTGAGTAGTAGTTAATTAACTGGACCCCCACTGATCAGGTAGTTCGAAAGTAGATGATGTAAACTGAATAATTTGAAAATTTCATTCAAATTACTCTATTGCAAGCGAAGATATTAGCCTTTGAAGGTTTGACAGACGTGTGCAATAATTTAAACCACCGAACTGGTTGATCGAAGCTGTCTCGGTCCTCCATATTTGATTAAATCAAAGTATCGCTGAACCATTCTAATCTATTTAATATCGGAGAAATCTGATGCCATCGAGAGTTGATTAAGGCCTGGATCAGTTAATTAATGTCTAATTAATACTTTAGAAAACATTTCAGGCCTAAAGAAAGACCTGCAATGGGCAGATTTAGCTCTTCCATAATGCATGTTTAACGTTTGTTATGAAATCACTGGCTATGAAATTCCAATATATAGGCCTACGCATTGTTTCTATTAAACCCCGGGGAATAGCGTGTTCAGAAGTTACTAAATACAATCAACGAGGAAACTATTAATGAAACAGTTTGCGAAATTTAGACCTTAATAGAATACTAATTTAATGTAGCTAAATGTCTAATGGGGTTGTAGCTACGTTTAAATTGACGCACAAAAAAACGTGTGCTAAAATCTATGCGCCTTCGCCGATAGTTTCGTCAACAATTCGGCACGTCATTACCACACAGATCAAAACCAGGTGAATTTTGAGCATATTATATAAAAACAACATGAGAGACTAATGCTAATGATTTTTTACAAACAGATTCCTAGAAACAACAAGATCCAGTATTATCAAATAATGACTTTTTAGCATATTATATAAATACGTATTGTTAATGATAATATACCTTACGAAATCATAGTAGAACCGGGGTCTTTAAAAACTGGCACGTTTTGATCTATACGAGTAAACATGTACTCACATAAACATCAATTAAAGGCGAACATAAGTATTAAGAAACTTTACGTCAGAATTCAGTAAAAAGCCGAGATATTAAAACACGAAAACTACTTGAAAAACATTTGTTATTATATTACAAGTATCTTTTGTTTAACTTAAAAGAAAAACCCTAGAAAATATTAATCTTTAACGACACCGGAAAACGAATAAACATTAACATCGGATACACAGAAATGTCATATTAAGTGCTAGTGTATTAGTTAATTAGTAACATTATTATTGTTACTCTTTTACCCATTACCTCAATATAAAAGAACAGAGCATTTTAGTTCATTAGGATATAGAACAGGTCACAAATGTAGAACAATTAGACATGGTCAATGACTTTAGATAATGCCTCAGATCTTCAATAATTTGAATTTCAATAATACCTCATTTTGTGTTCCCTATGTCTTAAACTAATGGGGTCAATAAATATTGTTGAATATATTAACAAGTGTAAAGATGGAGGCGTCTGGATGAGGCGGATAGTGAAATCAAGAAAGCTATACATTTTATATTTATCTGTAACCAATTAATTTGGGGACTAACATGTATACCTGCTCATTTTATTATTTGTAATTATATTCATTTTATCGGAAACAACTGCGTAATATTGGTATTTAAGTGGAAATGCACGGACGTGATATATTAATATTCAAGACAACACAGCCAATGCCTTGTTTTATATTCGGATGAAAGGATTATACAATTCTTAATATATCAATAATTTTCCGAAAATTTTGTTTTTTTGTCATGTTTATAGCAAGGAGTCAGAAATAAAACATTGCTGGTTGGTCATTTTGGTTGTACTGTTGTATTCAAGCCACTGGTTGGCTGACTCTTCTGGTGGCCTACTGCTTCGAAGTTATCTTAGATTCAGTAGCTACAGCTTGTGAATCTAGGTCAAAACTATGGCTCCATTTAACTATAATTAGTAACAGGTGTCGTATGCTTAGTCTTACTTGCCTATTAGGGATTGGTCTTTAACAAATGAGGGGTTTAGCTTCCTACTGTTCTGCCCAGACTGGGCTAATTGCCTTTAAGAACACGTTACCGTGTGTAATTGGAAGTTTTGTGTTAATATTCATTACATGTAGAATACCATACGAGTATTTCTGAAACTACGGAGACCATAAAACAACAAAACTACATTATTCATATAGTAGCTTATCAAATTCAATACTTACCATGCACAACATTACCTTTCAGTGCCCACCATTAGCAATTGTGACAATAGACTAAAGCACGCGTTATTCCCATAGCGATGTTTAAGTTCTGGCGCATTTTATCCCCAATTAAAATATCTATATGTCTGGGTCGACTATCCCTAGAGAAAGGATTACATCTTTGCATTGTATAAAATAAAAATGCGGTAGTCGATCAGTTTGGAACCAGGAATCATATGTCTAGTGTCTCGGGTCAGGATCATAATTGATCGAGTCTATAACTGGAAGGCGAACAGTCTGAGGTTCGAAGCCGCAAAGACAAAATGCCAAGAAGGGGTTTCACTTCGCCTTTATCTGTCATGTGCACCTCTGGTGTTTAAGCATAAGCCGAAAACGGTGTTTAAGCATAGGCCGAAAAACGAAGTAGAATCACTTTGCAGTTTCGAAACAAGAGAAATTTCGTCTTTAACCAAGGGGCTGCCGTGGCTCGATTTACTATTAGTTTCTCCCTGCTTCAATTGATATGTGAGGCTGATTATTAAAAAAAATCGGAGCTAATCGATTAGATCGTACCTAATAACTTGCACCAATACATCACATTTGATATTAATTTATTAGATTATTATCTCCCCTTTTCTTTATCTAAATCATCCCAAAGGGACATGGTCGATACCATGATATATAGACTATTATCCAATCAAATAAAGAGAAAAATATTCTATATAAATACTACTAATACAGACATTGTTGGCAAGACAATAAAATACTGTAGAAATATTATTGATGGAAAAAGCAAATACAGGACATAACCGGTAATAAATAAAATATTTTCAGAATTGGGGTGATTAAAATATATTGTCATCGTCTGTAAAGAGAGAACCTGGTACTATTATATATGTGGACAATGAAACTTCGATTTGATTGAATATATCTTCGATTATGGCTCACACGGACATACCATGCTCATTAACGGTGTCTTGGTGCGGATTGTAAAACATTTTAATTGCGGATTTAAATC